TTCTGAACAACAATTAGGCTAAAAATATGAATTGACACTGAAAATCTATTAGCAGTAGTATGACTTGCTAGTATAGAATTGTAAAACTAGAGTGCAATGCATGATTAAGTCATAAAAGCATGAAAAAAATCATATGTGACAAGATAGGAAAAGCCAGAATAAATGTGATAAATCTTTCATTAAAAATTGTGTCAAAATTACAAACAAGGTGATTACATTTGGCCTAATTTTTTGAAAATACATCGAGAGCCTACTCTAGGCTTGAAGGGCAGTTTGGTGCTTAATTTTATTCTGCCTAAGTCTGGTTTGAGCTTGTTTAATGGCAGGTGGGCCACCTTCTACTTGAACAAGAAGGTTTGGAATTTGTTGGGAAATATTAGCTTGTTCTTGTTCAACAGCAGCTTTTTGAGCTCTCACATGTGCCAGTTGAGCCTCTTCTGCTGTGAGGAGGGCAATTTGAGTAATGAGAGCCTATGATCTGGTAGTAGCCTCAGTTAGAGCATTGACTGCTTTCCTCATTTGATCCACTTGGGTTTCAACAGTTTTTGGCTCAACATGGAATTGGTGGATAGCCACTAGATGCTGTGGAAGTTCTGAGAGGAAGGTTTGGAAAGCCTGCACTTGGTTTGGGTCGAAGAGTTGAGGCATTAGAGGTGCAATGGCTTCCAAACAGTTAGTCAAAGTTGTGGTTTGAGAAAGAGCCACTACTACAAAAAGAGTTAAAGATCACGCTTTGACAAATGAAAATATTTCACTTTTATTGGAAGTGTGATAAAAAAAATTAGATTGATATTTTAATCACACTTGATTTGATTAAGTGTGATAATATTTATTTTTTATGTCACTTTTTAATTAAGTGTGATTATATATATACTTTTTAATTTTTTAATCACACTTAATTTAATAAGTGAGATAATATTTTTTTTATCACACATTTTAAATAAGTGTGATTATATATATTTATACAAAATCTAAATCCTAGCCTAACCTAACCTAATCACCCTAACCTTATATATATTATACAAGGTCTAAACCCTAACCTAACACTCCCTCTTACTCTATCTCTCACTTTTCTCACTCTTTGTCTCTTCCGCCTCCTACATCGTCGCCTCTGGTGGCGCCATCGGCAACCACCACTGCCACCGCCTTCACGATGGCGCCGCCTCCACCTCCTCACTCACCTCCCTCTCTCTCTTCTCCTATTCTCTTCACCTATCTTTACCAGTCGTCTACTTCGTCTTCTCCACTCTTGTCGTCAGTTCAAGCTTTGTCGGTTCGTCTCCATTGTCGTCGGGTAACAAGCATCGCCGTCGGTGCACAAGAGCACCACCGTCGCAACACCGTCGATCCATTACCCCAAGTATCTCTGTCTCTCTCTCTCTGTCTCCCTCTCTGTATGTCCCGCTGATTGGGGATTCTTGAGGTACACAAACTCAAATCGAGCATTCCCTCTTATTCCCCTTGTCGAACCCCCTTATCATTTGTTTATGTCATGAAGCTTGGTGCCGATTGAGGCTTGTTGAACCTTGTTGATTATTATAATCTGTTTTTGCTAGTGTATATGATATTATATATATATATATATATTGGTGTGCAACTAGGTCAATTTAGATTTATCCGGGTTCGGTTTGCTTTGTACCTATGAATTATCTCTTTCATTTCCTCTACACTTTGAAATTAGCTTCCTCCATCAATGAGCTTTCTGTAGCTAATGGTCTTGATGATAACCTCTGGTTTTTTTGGTTTAATTTGATCTTCTGAACAACAATTAGGCAAAAAATATCAATTGACACTGAAAATCTATTAGCAGTAGTATGACTTGCTAGTATAGAATTGTAAAACTAGAGTGCATAAAACAAGGCTTATTCATTATTCTTCATCAATTTTCAATGTCATAGGTTTCTCAGGCGCACATGCCTCTAATGTTATAGGTTTTTCAGTTAGAAGAGAGATAGTTTTGACCTGTAAGAAAGACAAATTGAATAAACATGTTTTTTGCCCCAAACCCAAATTTATATCCAATCAGTTATGACTTATGAAACATAGACATGAACTTGGGACATGAAACAACTAGGCAAGGACACACAGGCTGGGTGGATCCTAAAATCTACACTACATGGAAACAAGTTGGGGTGTGTATGTGTGTGCATGCTATAACAACAGCCGAGTGTCTAAAATTATTAAAATTACTTTGAAACCATGAGACAAGACTGCTTGTGGAGTATGCTAACTACTTGATGACACAAAATGGGTCAAATCAAACAATGGGGTCAGATAGACTAAAATAGTAATCTGTCAATACAGTAAAAAGAATTTTTTATTAACTTACCTTGTCCCAATTCTCTTTAATTTCAATACCTCCACATTTTGAAAAGCTAATGGTACAAGTATTTAACACATCAGATAGAAGACCATTTATAATGTTGACTTTTACTTAGATGTATAGTATGTTGGGAAGAAAAATGGAATAATGTGAAACTGTGACAGACAACAGAAACTTTGGAACATAATTTAGTGTTGGGATTGCCAATTAAAAGAGCACCATGTAAGCCAAGTAGTTGTTTAGTTTAAAATCTAACATCTGACTTGTCAGTAGAGTGGACACTTTCTATATTTAGTTGAACAATTTCCATAGTTTTTAAAAATTTCTCTATTTCATTAAGTTCTAGATAATAAAAGATCTAACCTTTAAATCTTACTTTATTCTCTAGTCCAACCTTTTCCAAGCAACCAAACAGCCCTTTCCTTTATATTCATATTTTTCAATTATGTTTTTCACCTTTTCCTTTATATTAATTAGATTACTATAGATGCCAACTATAACTTTAACACCCCTTCCAAAGAGGGTAGAAAAAAATACATTGTGAAATTTTTTGATTTTAAAAAATATTATTGATGCTTAGGTTTGATGTGTAACCTTTTGTATTATTTTATGTTCCCTTTCCAAATACATGCTGAAAAGAAATTGTTTTTTTAAAATGGTTTTCTTGAATCTCCAAATTATAATTCTTTCCGCTTATCAAGCTTATTTTATCTTTTGACCTATCCAACATCCTTTCTACTTACAATGATACTTACACTGTTATTACCATTTATGGGGAACATTTGCAATAATTAATAGAAACTATCATTCTCAAATTTGTGGCCAGGGCGTTCAATTATTAATAGTATATATTTTCACTTACATGAAAATATGTAAAAATATTAATATTTGGGAATGTCTTTATATAAAATCCAATTCAATAACATTTTCAGAATTGGTCGTACTAGTTCATTACTTAAATATGTAAAACATACTTACACAACAATGTCGATTGATTTAGTTATCATCACTCCTTAGAATGTATGTAATATTATTTTGGAAATTATATGTGGAACTTTTTCTATCAAGTTATTGTCAAAATTCATTCAGTGGTACAAACTACTTGGGCTTTAATCATTTAAATAGGCTTTGTCTCTCTAAAACATTTCTCAATAACAAATAATGAGATATATAATGAGTGTTGATACTTTAATCATTTAAATATGACACATTTTTCATAGTTAAAAGTGGTTGTAACAATAATACTAAAATCAGAACTTCACTCTTTTAAAATGTTTCCTTTTCTTTTTCATTGCACACGGCTTTCCTTATGTATATATCTAAAACTCAATTCTTTCCACTTGGCCATCACCACCACCACCACCACCATCACCACCATTACCTCTTATCTACCACCTTCACCACTATTGCCGCTCCCTCTCCTCTACCACAAAAAATTAGTTCCTGATTTTTAGTAACCAAAAAAAATGGGCCGCAAAAAAATATTTTTCATTGACCACAAAAAATTAACTTTATTTTAATGGAAAATATTTTTCATTAAAATATTACAATTAACATATGATTGTATTTTTTGTTGCACACGGCTTTCCTTATGTATACATCTAAAACTCAGTCCTTTCCCTATACAAGACTTTTAAAAAGTTGAATACTCAGTTGATTTAAACCTTACTACATGCTATATGAACATTTCAGAATAGAGGAGAAAAGGAAGGGCCCCAAAGGCTTATATATTTACATTATCCAGACATTTTTCTTAATCTATACTCACCAAATCTGAAATCCAGTCCCAAGGTATATGCATAACATTTAGTCTGTGCTACCCTTATGGTGATCGTTTACATTTCTTTAACTCTTTGCGACGTCAGATTGAACCTTAGGATTGTGATTGGCTTATGATCATTCGCTCCATTGGATCTGCATACTTATATGAATACATATTGGTTTGATTTTCATGTTACTTGATCTTATATGAATACATATTCACTCCATTGGAGTACTTTTGAAGTTGGGCCTTTTCTTTTATTTTTTTGTACTTCACTTCCACTAATTTTTTTTCTTCACCTTTTCATCATCAGATAGACAAAAGGTTGAATCCTTTCTACCCGTGGAAGGTAATATTTTGAGTTATGTTTTGATTATTATTATTATTTTAATCACTCTGTTTTTATTCTTGTATTTGTCTACCTAAGACATGCACTTAATGACTTCACCCATTGCTTTTGATTAGATCTGATACTTGATTTTACAAGTTTTTGGGATTTCTTCAGCTGTTTTATGTACGTAATGGGTTAGGTCAATGTTGTTCCTTATATTTACCATTATTCTGAGTTGCTACTGATCCTTTCATGTAGGATACTGGTGTGGCGTCTACTACTTTGGATAGTTTACCTGGTGGCATCATTCAAGCCAGGTTAGATTTGGAGTTAAAACCTCTATGGTCAAAAAGTAGTTCAAAGTCAAAGGTTAGGTTTTGATCTTGGTATACTTTGGAATCAATACACAAACTTCCTTAGAATCATGTATTTTGTCTTCAAGTCACAAACTTTAATTCACAACGAGGGTTATTATTATTATTTTTTAAATATATAAGCAGTAACATTTTAAAGTGGTGTTAGTTATGTAGAAGATCAGTACTTCATATTTGTTGCCATCGTACATCTTTTCTTCACTTATCAAGTTAATGTTTCAAGCTTTCATATCTTCCTGGAAATTCCAGTTGGTATTAAACAAAAAAGTAATGTTGATGACATTGTTCAAAAGGTATAATTGTTAACTGTTTATTAATGGTTGGCATTTAAAATCTACATCAGTTGTTAACTTAAGACATGCCATTTTGTTGACATTATTTGCCTAATTTTAGTGAATTCAGTTTCTTTCAGAGAATTTTACAATTATGTTAGTCCATTATGATGGGAACGTGGATGGATGGCGGGAACTGCTTAGTCATATGATTTTGTCTATTATATATGTTCGGGCCCTAACATAGTTTTTCTATTTTACATTTTCAGCGCTACCAATATCATCTCTCTTCCCATTCCTTTATTTCATGGTGAATATATATTTTACCTTTTCAGCGCTATTTCTAGCAGGTCTGTTACTCTAATTTTTTTGAATATCTTTTGTTTCAATAATCTTTAATTTCTATGAGGTTTGTTACTCAATAATATTGACAGCAGGTTTGTCCAATTTAATTACTTTATTGATGTTTATATTATTAATTCTTACAGTTTGTGCTTGAAACATTGTCTTTGAAGCATTGTGTTTTCTTAATAGGCTCACATTAGGCAGCTTGACGACTTCCTTAGGACCTTTCATATCCAAAGATTGTGGTAAATGTTTGATTTTGTATTGTTACTGAAGCAATGATTGATCATTGTTATTCTATGATTATTTCTTTGGTTGGTTATCTAACTTGACTATACATGGGCATTTCACGATGAGGATCAGTAGAGCATTTGAAAACCGAATGATGTTAATAGATTGATTAAATTAAGAGCCTGAATTGTCCACATGGTTCAATAAAAGTGATGTGATCTAGTCAGTGCCTGTTGAAATGTAAACATTAGTTTTAGATTGAGGAAAGTGCTACACCTAAATATTTGGTTTTGTAGGCTTAAGCTTTTGACTGATGCAATGTATGTCTTCATTATTTCTTAAAGGTTTGTCTTTGAAGGAATTGATGAAGGATCCTTGAATGGAGCTCTAGACCGTGCATTTTCTCACTATCGAGAGAGTAAGTACAGCAGAGTTTTCATACCTTGCATTTCCCATCTTGAATTTATTAAAATTTCAAGAAATTCCATAATTTTGTTACACTATGATTTACATCCTTGCCACTAAATTCAAAATAGTTTGAGATGTTACTTTCTTCTCTAAATCTTACTCAGTAATTACCACCAAATTTTCATCATGTACCTATCATATCCAATAACTATTACAATAATTTTGTACCTTCATCAAACTATAAATGGCTAATCAGTTTACTCAATCATCAAACTATTCAAAAATTCAGAACACCACTCACACCACTTGTCCTATATATAAAGTATACAAGTTGTTTAGTGTGAATTATTCTCACACCCCAAACTCGCCCTTAAAAGTTTGGGCATGACCTATGCAGATACGGACACATAACCTTCTATACATAATATATGGGGCCTGAACGGAAGCATTTAATATTACAAAGTAACATAGAATAACATCCATTGAGCTAAAACTAACATGCCAAGATCACATACGTGAGAGCCATTTATCTATATACATACCCATACACATAAATGAGCGTATATCCGAACATTGGTAAAGAAGGGGTATATACATACATGTTAACCTTAAGTAAATAAATAAAGTGCAAGCCAAAATTTTAACAAAACTTCACATAAATGCATGGGCTTGGTCTGGGAGTCTGGGCATGCTGAGGTTGACAATTGAAGGGTGAGCATCAAGGGTTAAGACGGACTTCCAAAGTAATTACCTACAGAATAGACATAACACAAAGTTAGCGGAGCTCAATGAATAATAGTACATAAATGATTCAATGCTCAACCTGAAGTATAATACATATCAATGCATGCATAAATAAAGAGGGCATAAGGTTAATTGATTCTGCACTAATTTCATAACGGCCTTAGGCCCAGTCTTGAAACATAATGACTTAAAACATACTATCTTGAAACATAATGGCTTTAAGCCCTTGAACAGAGTGGCAATAGGCCCTCGAACATATTGGCATTAAGCCCTTGAACTTGTGTGTATGAACTCAAGAGGTGCCTCGCATGGATTTTAGAGGTGACTCGCATTGTAGCACTTAGTTCCGTACAACACTTTGTTTCATACTAACAGATCTTACAGATCATACATAATGGCTATAGGCCTCATAACTTTCACAGAACAGCTTTCAGCCTCGTAACTTTCACATATGTATGGACTCAAGAGGTGGCTCGTACGGATTCTAGAGGTAACTCGCACTGTAGTACTTAGTTCCGTACAACACGTTGCTCCATACCAAAAATACAGAATGGCCTCTGGCCTAATAGATCATATAGAATGGCTATAGGCCCAAATTGGCTTTAGGCCTAGTTCATATATGTATGGATTCAAGAGGTATCTCACATGGATTCTAGAGGTGGCTCACAATGTAGCACTTAGTTCCAAGTAGCACTTTGTTCCATACCAGTAATTAATAGGTCTTACAGACCAAACCATACATACCATGTCAAACCATAAACGAAAACAAATTCATACATATGCATTATACTTGAATCATAAATAGAAATTAGAATTCATACTTGATTATACTTGGCACTTCGCTAGTGCTAACAAATCAATATAAAGCATTCTTGTTAGTTCCATAAAGGAATCCCCCGATACTGAGAACTTATAACATACGTGAACTTGTAACATACCTAAACTTGTGCATACTTGAACTTGTAACATATATAAACTTGTAACATCCTTGGACCACGGTATTATTACCCCTGGGTAAGGACCGTGTGCTACGGATATCATGAGTACTTTACATATATGGACAACTGTTCATTAAGTCAAAACGTAACATACCAGAACATAGAGCATTTCTTGTTATATCATGTCATTACAGTACACTTAACAAAGACAGAACAGTTTACATCATAACGTGAGTCACATGACAAGGTCATTAATATTTAATTCTGTCTTTAGGTTGGGTCATCCGTAAATCAATCCGTTGTTTATCATAATGCTTAGCAGGTATTAATGTATAAAACAATCCATGGTCTAACTAATTATTCATTAAGAAATGGCATAGTTCACTTGATTTATTAATAGCATATAGAAGCATACACCTTTGTTTGATCGTTCATATATGTTACCATAGTTGACTTGTACTTAACAAGGTACTAATGGTAGCCGTTACATCATTCACATGAGTTAACATAGTTAACTTAAGTTTAACAGGACATTCCTGATAATTATTAATGAGAGATAAGCACATTCACAAATTGAATGATTTCAGAGATACGTGAATACCATGGTTCCATAGTGCTTATACGTTCCCTTTGTTCATCATGAATCACTATAGCTATCTTGTATTCTTGAGGCTCAAAATAGATCTTTTAATTGATGAAATATGGTTCAAGAATCATAGACATAAACATTACAAACATATATCAATCCCAACATAAACATTACAAACATTACATAGCTTATCTTAACCATATCTCCAATCAACCAAGTGACAAGAGCATTTCTCAATTCAACATTTGGCACACACACAACTTTAATTACAACCCCAAATCTTACAAATGAAAGGGGGAATTCTTACTCAAAGTTAAGAAAAGACTTAATTAAAACAAAATTCACATACCTTGAGCCTTAAACCCTACAACTCCTCTCGATTCCCCTATCTTTCCTCTTGATGAGTTTCTTCCTTTCAAACCCTTTCTTTCCTTCTCTAATTTTCTTCTCTCAGGAGATATTTGAGCTAAAAGGCTTTTAAGTCCCAATATATATATATATATATATATAAATATAAAGTGAAGTTATATAAGACAAACCTTAATCAATTTAATCTCTCCAAATCAAATTTCTACAAACATGCTTATTAGTACATAAAAATTATGACGATCTCAAATATAAAATAAATTTCAGATTATCAAGCCTCTAAGGTGTTCAATTTCTGATCTGAACATCATAATTATGACAGATATGTTTTCTTATTAAACAGATATGGATCTATAATTACAAGGTGCACTTAATGAAACTTAATTTCTCATGAACCTTCAAAATAAGAATTTAAAGGCACATAATAAAGGGACTGAAAATATATCAGAAAACATGTACGTGGGTCGGGTTATTACACTCTCCCCCCCTTAAACAAGTTTGGTCCCTCAAACTTACTCTACCATGTAACAGATTAGAAATCTTAGTCTCACATCCTTGTTCAATTCTATTATAGATGTTCAATTAATTCCTCCGTTCGAACCATTTACAGACGAATCCAATATTTATCATAGTTACATAATAAACATCTCATAGTGTTATCCAACTAGTCGTTTCAATGTCTAAATACCATATATTTATTTCATAGGATCATAAGTCGTATGAGATGAGATCACAAAAGTTCACTGCCGAATACTCAAGGCATAATTCCCCAGCAAGCAGAGTTTATAATCACAATATTTCTTTTCAATAAATTCCCTAGCATCCATTCTCAAATACAAAAACATATAGTTCTTAAATACAGAAACATAATAAACAGTACTCTCCGAAGCACGTAATTCATAACTTCCCACAACAAACATTAATGCCATTCACAATACGTTCTTTACCATGTTCATAACCGAATTGATCCGTCATAATAGTTCATATGAAATTTTCATTAGTAAGTACATGTTCAACTTGCCCAGTTAAGAAATTCCTAGGGTAAATCTTATAGTGCCATTTACTCGGAGACAGGTTGTCCATTAAGGTCACATATAAATTTCAAAATAAATTAATTTCGTAGTTAGATTCAAATGCATAATTAAATCAAATATTAGAGCCTACCAAACAAAGTTCTGCCTAAGAAGTAAGGTATATTCCAATCTAGCAGTCACAAGTAAATCGCTTTGATACGTCACCATTAACTTCATCATTAGGTTCTAGTATTTCCTCATTTCTGAAAACATATCAAAGTCATATCGTTATATGGATTCAAAACCATATATACTAATTCTTGACAAGATCAGAACGATGGGAAGAAGAATCCCAATCCATTTCATTAATTCTGCACAGCATTACTTCTAAATACAGTAACACATGGAGAACCATATTTCAAATCAACACTTCTCGGGATGTTTACTAACATCTACTTGATACAAAGCTGACATCCCAGCAAATCAAAGGAATAACCGCCCCGGATTCGAAGCACACCCGTTCATGACCGTCGGTGGCCGACCCGAAATCGGTTAGACAACCCACCTGGAAAATCGTCGGTGGCAAAACATAATCCACCCGTATAAGACCGTCGGTGGTACCATCCGTACAAGACCGTCGATGGCAAAACATGATCCACCCGTACAAGACCGTCGGTGGTAAGAGATATCTTAACAAAGGTGCTACATAAGCTTAACATCCCCTAGCACGGAAGGACCTTTCAAGAATGTCATCAAAAGAGAGCTAATAGCTTCGGTCATAGGATCAATAATTGCATTACATATACAATAATCATATCCATTCAGATTCCATAATATCTAGGAATTCAATAATAGAGCAACAAAATGATTTGACCATTAATATCAGAGTTAGGATTCTTAGCAAGGTTAGTTCAATATGACAGTAAATCAATTCGTAATCATATCA